AACTACGTTTATAACGAACACGCTTATAACGAACTGACGGATATAACGAACTGTTTTTTCGTCCCGGATATTTGCTGTATATATGCTGTATATATGCTTATAACGAACTACGGTTATAACGAACTAAAATTTGTGGTCCCTTTGAGTTCGTTATAACCGTAGTTTCCTGTATATTTAAATTTGCAAACCCAAAAATATCTTAAAATACAATTTTGGTAAAGCAACATAATTATACAGCTTCTTTTGCCTTTGCCTATCTGTTGAGTATGTTATGAGTGAACTTATAAAGTTGAACTTCCTTAAACTGGACCATTCAGGACCAATAATCTAGATTAATGAGTCACAGAGAGCGAATAATGTAACATCATGCCTCAACGTATTTATGACACAGAATGAGGAGTGTCTGTAATAACGAGGTTCCAGTGTACATGTTCGTGTGGAATTTCAAAGTCTCTTCTATGGCATCATGGTTTAGAACTCTACACGGCAAAACATTAAGAACAGTCATTTATAACATATTTTTCTTCTGTAAATCTTCAGTAAATATATTAAGCGCCAACTCGGAGACATTCGCGGATGCCAAATGTAACACAATTATTGAATTACCAGACACAGCTTGGACTGTCGTTAATGTTCACTTTAATACGATAAATCGACGGCGAACTATTTCTAAACGTTGAATAATTCCTCGGAGCATGTATGCGCAAACTGCGGCTTTCTGTGTCTCAAAGATGTTTACATTAAAGCTCAAGTAAAGTGCGATTTCAGTGATTTTAGCGATTTAAGTGCGATTTCAAACTAAAATCGTTTCCCTTTTTAATTGCTTGGTCGTAGTTGTACAACTTTACCCTGAACAATTAGTGTTTTTCATTGAACATGCCAGTGTGACTAACCAACAGTGCAACGTCACTTCCGCTTACCCTGACCACGTGGGATAAAACGAGAATTGATGAGATCCGCATGCATGGTCTCTTGTTGTGGTACCTTTACCAGTAAAATGACCCGTAAGTTACAGATACAATCATTTAAATGAGTAGACCTAAGGGAAAAAATTTAACATTTAAACGCTATTTTTAGTTTTTTTACATAACCTGTATAATACTGATGGTAATAATACGAATAAACGGTGACGCCCAATGCATTCCACTTTAAGAATCTTTGAAGTGCGGAAAGTTCAAACTGTGTCAGATTTGATATGGTAGATTTATAACTCATCGCGCCGTATTTCCCTTCCTTTTATTGCCATGTTTCCTCTTCAGATGGAATCTCGCTTCACGGAGTTTTCTAATTTGTGGTCACGTGACAGTTTAGTTGGATTAGGGGAGTGTGATTTTCTCCAAGTATATTGATGGGATGCCTTAGCTGTGTGAACAGCTTGACGCTGTGATCACATGAAGACACTAAATAAGATCCTCGTTACTCAGGACCAATATTTAGTGATGAGATGAAACTTGCCATATAGAAATATATTCAGCCATGCGACGAAAATACTCGGCTGTCCTCGACAATTGTCGGATTTCTACCACTGACGGCACTGGCGACAGTGCCTCGCAGAGAATTAGTACCATTCACGGCAGAGAAGGTTACCGGCGATTGTGATCGATGACTTCACACAAAGTTTAGCCCTAATTAGCTGTGTCTTTTTGTCATTACGATCAGATTTGGAACCTTTATTCAAGCGAATATTTTCCTTCAACTGATCCCACAATGCCAGTATTGACTTAAGTGAGGCCCCTTTCCTCACTGTTTATTTCTTCCCGCATCCTGTCACTTTTTAACGAATTCCTGGGATAATTGAAATATTTTTATTTCAAACTTCCGGACGCTTTCGACTTGTTTGTACGTTTGACCTTATTCTCTGAACTAGAGGAAGAAAAAACATTGAATCAAATTAAAATACTTTTTTCTACACTCATTCAAACTGACACTTCGCTTTGTTTTCCGCCCATCAATTTCGGTAGTCAAAATATTGATTAAAAATTTCAATGCATTTGGATTGGCAAATTTTGGACACACTGTTTTCCCTCTAGGGATTTATACTCTTGAAAAGGAAAGGAGCTTATCACAATTCTCAGCGTCTGAGAAAAAATTATCGTATTCATCAGACAGACAGGGAATGGCACAGGTCACCGACCGAATTATTCTTGAAGCATGCGGAAATATACTGGAAAAAGGTCCTGTTGAAACGTACATCAGCCCAGATGGAGCAAATAGATCAAAAGCAATCTTTTGAGGTATCAGATTTAAAATTGTATTGAATAATCCAGTAGTATTCTCACCTCACTCAAATGTTCATGTTTGTGTTGCTGGTTGTCGTTCAACATGTAGTCGCCTCTTTTAACCTTACTGCAAACAGGGGCGGCAGGGTAGCCTAGTGGTTAAAGCGTTGGCTCGTCAGGCCGAACACCCGGGTTCGATTCCCGATATGGGTACAATGTGTGAAGCCGATTTCTGGTGTCCCCCGCCGTGATATTGTTGGAATATTGCTGAAAGCGGCGTAAAACCACAGTCACTCACTATCGCAGACTAATGTAACTCAATTGAAGGGCTCAAATTCCGATTTGCTGTTGCAGGAATTGGGATCTTCCCAAATTCTTTTTGTGCCAGAATAATAGTTTCTGGAGCTCATATATCAAGCTTTGATAAAGAAAGTTAAACAGAATTCTTTTTCAACAGACAACTACAGGTGTGAAAAAGAGTGTTGCCATGCAACAAAGTTAACTCAAGATTGATATATCATCTGTTTGAAAGGCATTCTAGAAGCTATAACAAATGATATATTTGGGATTACACTTTCTTAATAAAGTACAAATTCTTGTACTTTTATCAAGCTGGAATGAATATTGCTTGGGATATGTACTCATAACGGTACTTCTGATCTAAGTCCTCACACGCCTGCAAATCCTAACACCTAGACATATCTTGAACACTTACATTTTACTGTTGAATGGTAAATAAGCAGCACGCATTAGAATATAGACTACAAGAATATATAGGACTGGTGAATAAGAAATAGGCTATGGATATATAAATGTGAATATAAAAGTGCATGTTGTTAGTTGAAGGCACAATAGTTAACTATAGTATATGGTCATACAAATGGAATCTTGAAACACTAAACACAAATTAACACGAAACTTATCTAGGGATTAATACCTAAATTTACATCAGCGATTATAATGTAACACCAGATTGTTTAACCGTTTAAGGTTCGTATTCTAAACCATAATGCAAAGCAAACATACCAGTAAACTATTCTTGTAACTGACAAAGAACACCTGTCGTTTTGCTCCCAAGTTACAATCGCACCTACGATGCTTATCGTCGAACGAACATAATTCAATCACTGGATTATCTGGTCACCGTCACAGCGTATCTGGTCGGGACGCGATTGTTTACAGGCCCCCGTCGCATGACGGGAGAACTGCTGTGCTGCGTCAGGCAACAAACAAACAAACAAACAAACAAACAAACACTATTTTATGCAAATTGCGTGAGTGGCGGGTACTACCGGTGGAGCAGGACATGCTTACCCTGTTTGCGCAACACCTGGTGTCATGGCTGATTTTCCGTGATCCATTTATATAATTTTCACCATTATTTTTACCTTTTACACCCAATGGAATCTGTTTCGGCAGATAACCGAGGTTATTCTCTGACGTGGACGTTTTATAGTTCCTGCTAGATGTGCTATTAAGGAACATTCAGACTGATATAAGAGAGGCGTGTGGTATTAGTGATGTTAATTATAACAGTTGTCTATAACTGCCGGGTAAAATCAGGTTTGATGGTGGCCAGAAATGAAAAAACAAGAAATGGTAAGTCGATGTTGATTTTTTGTCATACGGGGGTCATAGTTATGTTTAGGACCTGAATTTTTCAGTCTTTCCGTGACTGTTTTCAGCCTAGTAACTGTTTGATATCCAATCCAATTTTCTAGTGTATACTTTCTTTTGCCCGACTGTTTACATAGAGTGGCCATTCTACCAAGAACGGCAAAACATTTCGTATAAAACAATACTCACAAGCGAAATTTTAAAAAAATCAAAACCTTTGTACCAAAACTATCAATATTAGTTTTAAACCACACTTGAGACCAAATTCATCATAATCAAAGTGTCAACTGATTTCTTGTTTCAGTGAGCTCTAATATCGCCTACAGTAGTAAAATATATGATAAGGGAACAAAAAAAAGTTTTTAAATGAGAGTAAGCATGATGACGGATATTTTAGTAATGGTGACGTAATATATAACACGTAAATATATCATAAATAAATGCAAGCCATATTGATTCCATCGCTTATTGTTAAAAGTTAAAAGTTAAAAGTCTGGCAATATGAAATCCTCGTCAGACATAATCGCTTCAGAACTGGTACCCAGGACTGTGTGTGATCAGCGTGTAAATGACCGTAACACTCGGGGAGGTGAGGAGGGGGATGTTAATAATAACAGTATACTCTAATAACAGCCATCTTTCCCACGCCGGCCAAGGTAGTAGATGAGGAAAGCACAACTGGATGACATTGTTGTGCATACTGTGTAGAAGATGATTTCACGAGATGAGCTCGTTATCTTATCTTGGTGCACAACGGGTTACAACGCCAGTAAGCATTTGCTTTCTACTACACAATAGCTGAAACGATCACAATTTTTTTTATGAATGTTTTTCAGTGCCATTGCACGACTATTTGTCGTTTTAAAGAATATTTTTAGTCATTGCATAAATTCAAATAACATGAAATGTAGAATGTAGGGACATAGCTAACTTACTAAATTCTTTATGAAATTAATGTAATACTCATTATGTAAAATCTTTGGTATTTCATAACGTAAATTTTATCCAAACCAAATTAATATTTTTAAATGTTCTTTTACAAAACGTCGCTGTGGATAAAATATTTAGCCGGACATGTTTGGGTAAAAATGTTTCTTTAAAATGGACACAATGGGGATATTTTAAAACAAAAAACAACAAATGTGTTTATTTTTGATAACTTACCCCCGCCATTCCTATAGCAAAGGTAGGGGAACCTCCACACGTTTCCCAGGCCCACGCACTGACCCACACACGACAACACAAACTCTATCTTTCCACTCCAGTATTCCCGCTCAGGGACAGCGTCCAGCTTCGCCTCCACAGCCCGGGGGGTGGGGACTGGCTCACCCCCACAGTTCGGGCGTGCCGGGCCTCGAAAGTCATTGAGCTCCATAGATTCTTTAAGCGGTTTTTCCATGGTCGTAGACCAGATCCACATAAACCAAAGCCAATTCACTTAAAAATCTCCTGCCACCAAAATATGTTGTTTAATGTTCCTTTGGTCTGAAGCTTACGAATGTGAAAAGTGCATCTTGTGACGTTCCTGTGTTGCAAACAGGCAAAGGTCCGAAACTGAATTCCAATGGCCGTTGTGACCAGTACAACGTCAGACGTCCGGCCGAGTTGCCATCCTTCGGAGAGACACTGGAATTAAAATCCGACCATTTCCTGAATGATCCCGAATGACCATTTAGAAATTACCGGCAATCTTCCCTATGATGAACTGTCATGAGATTTAAAAAAGAGTCCCTGCTGGTATAGCTAACATAGCGTGTGTACCCATTGTCCCACGTGACCTTTCATTTCAGTAATGGGCCGCATTGAATACTCCAAACAGGGGCAGCTCGGTAACTCTTAACACAGCGGGTTCCGATTTGACGACAGTTCCTACGTTGACTGCCGACTGAGAGAGCCCACTTCAACTGCAAGCACGTCACCAACAGGAGCAACACATGTGCCTCCGCGGTGGTATATCAGCTCAAGTGGACACAGTTATTCTGTCAAAATGAAATAGAATGATCCACCTAACCCCATGATGACGCTGAAATGAGCCTTTAGGAAAATTCAGATTTGACAGAAAGTTCATCGGAGTCTTTGGGTCGATCGAGCTCACGCGCGGACGGTGGGGATGCTTTTTCGCAATATAAGGGGCCATCGGCCTTAGATTATTGAAAAATTGACCCAAGCGTTGTAACGGCTGGGGGATTGCAATCGGAAGTCGATGAGTTGCAAACCTATCATTTATCCCCCTTATTAATGTCGGTGTGAGACACGGTCGCGCATGATCCCTGCATATGAGCTCAGCCGGGTTGGCCTGAGCCCGAGTTAGTTAAAGTCGACCGCTTCAGTCATCAAACCACTAAAAAATAAACTGCTTGTCGATAAAGTAAGCTGGCGAATTGTTCTGGGAATTGTGAAACGATGAAGCGGGAGACTGGTGTTTCTACACTGTCACTGCCATGATATATTTCTCATCAGCAGGTCGGGGCTTCCAGCTTAATCAGCCTGCAGAGCGTCGGTGATATGGTATACTTAGTCTCACAATAGTCTTTTAGTCTTGCCCGTTAGTCTTCCTTGGTACCAGCTGTCATTAACCCCCCTTCCACCTGTAGACTGGGTTTCAAGTACGCGGGGACAATAAATTTTCAAGATACGCTGACAGTTTGACTTCGAAGAAAGCTCTCCGAGCCTTGAAGATAACACTGAGTCTATACATTAGGCTACAGACTCCAAAGATACATACTATATATTTTTGCCGAACGCGTTTATTACAGCCATTGGAATGTCACCACGATTAGTGAGTGAGTGAGTGAGTATGGTTTTACGCAGCTTTTAGCAATATTTCAGCAATATCACGGCGGGAAATATAAGAAATATGCTTCACACATTGTACCCATGTGGCAAATCGAACTCGGGTCTTCGGCGTGACGAGCGAACGCTTCAACCAATGGGCTACCCCACCGTCCCTAACGCTACGATTACGTAATTATTAGTGAGTGAGTGAGTATGGTTTTACGCCACCTTTAGCTATATTCCAGCAATATCACAGCGGGGCACACCAGAAATGGGCTTCACACATTGTACCCATGTTGGGAATCGAGCCCGGGTCTCCGGCGTGACGAGCGAACGCTTTAAGCACTTGGCTACCCCACCGTCCCTATCGCTGCGATTACTTAATTATTAGTGAGTGAATGAGCATGGTTTTACGCCACCTTTAGCTATATTCCAGCAATATCACAGCGGGGCACACCAGAAATGCGGCTTCACACATTGTACCCATGTTGGGAATCGAGCCCGGGTCTCCGGCGTGACGAGCGAATGCTTTAACCACTAGGCTACCCGACCGCCCCCGTGATTATTAGTCCTGACCATGTACAGCAAACTCCAACAAAGTTACTGTTACAATTACAGGTTTAAATATTTACATTGCCTTTAATAATCATGATCGAAACATTCATCAGTTTAAAAAAAAGCGCAACAAACTTTACCTTGAGAAAAAATGGGTCACTTTGGTGTCACATAAGTTTCATATCATTGTAGTTCATATGTGAAGGAATTTAACAAACGCCTCCGTGGTCTAGTGGATACAGAGTTTGTCCTGAGAACAGAAGGTCGGTGGTTCAATGCCGTGCGTCACAGAAAAAGACGTTAAAACATATTTGTTGTCACCCTGCCAGTCGCTCGGAATTACGGAGATAAAACAAGGACCGGTCGGCTCAGAGTCTGTATAATATGCCTGAGTGGGGTATCCATATTAAACTGCGGCACGGTATATCAGTGGGGTATCCATATTAAACTGCGGCACGGTATATCAGTGGGGTATCCATATTAAACTGCGGCACGGTATATCAGTTGGGTATCCAAACAAAACTGCGGCACGGTATATCAGTGGGGTATCCATATTAAACTGCGGCACGGTATATCAGTGGGGTATCCATATTAAAGTGCGGCACGGTATATCAGTGGGGTATCCATATTAAACTGCGGCACGGTATATCAGTGGGGTATCCATATTAAACTGCGGCACGGTATATCAGTGGGGTATCCATATTAAACTGCGGCACGGTATATCAGTGGGGTATCCATATTAAACTGCGGCACGGTATATCAGTGGGGTATCCATATTAAACTGCGGCACGGTATATCAGTGGGGTGGCACTATTAAACTGCTTGTCTAATAAAGCAGTCCCACACACTCACCTCAACTTGAAGGACATTATTTGAGGACCAGTATAATGTGCGATTATCATGAATATGTCACAGTTTTTGAGTTGTCTTTACATGTGTCTGTTACATGTCTTCAATGTTTTGGCATATATGAAGAATACATATTCTTACCAAAGAATATAATCATAAAATGTATTTGCGGTTAGTACTTGAATCCTGCTTATTTTATGAAGTCATAATTCTTTCGAGCATTTATTTTAAGAAAAGGATGATGTAATCCACATTTTAACACAAAATAAAAACTAAGTAAGGATAAAATTTATGGATGAACAACTTCTTTATTACAATTAGGAGCGACGTTTCGGTGTAGGTTCTAACACTGTTATCAAGCAAGTGATGTTATCATCCATATATCTTACCATTACTTTGGACTCCAACTTCTAAATGTAATAAAGAATATCTATATATATCTAAAGAATATCTATTATCATTATGCTAGTATTAAATCATTGTTACAACCAGAAAAATATTTAAGCATATTACAAGATACAAATCTATTGAGAGTTCTTTGTAAATTTAGAATATCTCTCCATAACTTCCTTGTCAATAAATATCGTAAAACCAAGCATAGTGATTTTGAAAATTGTATATGTTCTAACTGTACCAACCAGGATGTTGAAGACGAGTTTCATGTCCTTTTTATATGTGAAAAATATAAAACGTTTCTACCTAATTTAGATATTAAACACAAGGGCAATCAATTAATGATCAATTTGTTGAATTCGACCAATGAAGAAGTTATCAGTTCTTTAGTAATGTATTTGAAACATGTATTTGGACTCAGGTGAATATATTATGCAATGCAAGATAACGTTATTTTTATGTACGAGACTGAACTATGGGCCATATGGCCGTGCATGCTGAATAAACTGTCTGTCTGTCTGTCTGTAATATAGAATTTCTCGTTTATTTAGGCTAAATATAAGAAAATAATTGTTTCTTGGGCATTTTGTTCTCCAATTTTTCTCACATGTGAAGCCCATTTCTGGCGTCCACCGCAGGGACACTGCTGGAATATTGCTAAAAGCGGCTTAAAGACAGTACACACTCATTCACTCACTCATATGACTGGGAATTTGAAAAATATTTTGTTGCAGTAACTGACGTGCAAGTGTTAAGTGACGCACAGAGGCTCCAGAATCTTTCCCTTTTTCAGCCTTATAAACTTAGTCCTCTTTACCTTGCCAAGGACATGGCCCACAAGAAGGTCCCACACATTACATAGTCTTTGTTCAGGCTCGACAGAAGGTAAAGCCCTGCAATCTAAAATCAATACAATCCAATCATCGGGGTGTCATCAGTTTATGAGATATTAAAACTGCCAAGAGAAAATATTCTGTCTTAGCTCCAAAACATCTCCCCCCTCCGTGTTCACACTTCCAGAAACAATTCCCACAATGTGTCAGTGTGTGATTCTCATTCCTGTTGTCCACACCGTGGCAGAGCTGGAATACTGCCATTACCGCGGCATAAAACATTACTCACTCAATCACTTCGAGAGGCAAACAATTCGGTCATTTATGAAAACCACACCGGACATATAAGGTCACAACATATCTATTAATTATTCACCGGAGAGAGTGTTAAACGCCGCTGTAAGCAATATTCCGAGCATAAAACGGCAGCCACTTCGTTTCGTTCCTGGTGCATGTATATGATATGAGGCGAACAATATTGAATGGTTAGTCTGGTGGTTCGATTCCCTGTTCGCGTCATACCAAACGAGTTAAAATGTGATAATTGTTGTTACCCTGCCTGGTGCTCGGCATGAAGGGGCTAAGACAAGGACTGGTCGGCTCGGAGTCGGTATACTGTGTCTGAGTGGGGTATTCATGTTAAACTGCGGCATGGTATCCCAGTGAGCTAGCACTATAAATCGCATTCAGTCCGGACTAGTACAAGCAGCCACACACACACACGTGCATGCACGTCGCTATATAAGTGCAATAATCTTGGGCGCGACGTTAAACCCCATTTCACCTCACCTCACAAGCACACGCACCTAATTCATTCTACATATACGACGATAAACGCCATCTCGTCTCACCTCACCCAACCTGCATCACGTCGAGTGGTGAGGGTTACACTAAGGTTATAGGCTATTGGGTAAATTATTTCTTCTTAATTCTGTCAAAACATGCACATTATTTACCCTGCAGAAGTTGCAGAAATTCTGCTCTCGGCTTGCCCTTCCTAAATAGCAGATAATCATCTTTTGTATAAAAAAAAATCGACATTTTTCTGGACTCATAGCCAGATTATTTCTTCCGAGCTCGTCATCGGTCGGATTTACAAGTGTCCGTATTAAAGGATCACAGGTGTGGGGAAGGGTTCTTGTGTATATTTCAAAAGGCGCGCTCGGTATAAAGGGGAAAAAACAAGAACTGGTCGTCGCGGAGCCTATACTGTGAGTGAGTGGGGAAATCATGTTAAACGGTGGCATGGTATCTCATTGGTCTAGCACTAGAAAAAACACTAGTCCTGACTACTACGAGCAGCTACACACACACGCGCGCGCGCACACACGTGCATGCACGTCGCTATTAGTGCAATAACCTCAATTCTTTATCGACGTTTCACCTCACCTCAGGTGTAACTAAAGAAAGAAGAAAATACCCGCTGCTTGAATGTTACGAGACTGATACGCTGAGACTTTATTACTACATGCCAGTGAAGATCGACAGCCTGCCTCCCTGATGGTTACTGTTGAGTGACATTACCTCCTAACCCATCGAACCTTTAACCTGAATTTTGGCCATCCAAGCGATTTCACTGGGAATGGTACCGCCCGAGTTAATGGTATTTTCAGGAGTACTGCTGTGTGCGGCGTAAGGCAACAAACTAACTGAGTGAGTGAGTATAGTTTTACGCCGCTTTCAGAAATATTCCAGCAATATCACTGGCGACACCAGAAAAGGTCTTCACACATTGTAGCCATGTTTGTAATAGAACCCGGGTCCTCGGCGTGACGAGCGAACGCTTTAACCACTAGGCTACCCGACAGCCACCTTAGTTTTCATGGAAATTGTGTGAGTCGCGGTATGGAGTATGCTACGGTATGGAGCAGGTCACGCTTACTTTCGCGTCATCGCTGATTTTCAGTGATCCTTTCAAATTTTGATCATTGTTTTTGATTTTACGTCCAATGATTCTGTTTCGGCAGATAATCGAGACTGGTTATTCTATGGAAGAAAAATCTCGTGCGTTCACGTTGTATATTCCACTGTATTTTAATAAATAAAAGATTCACCAATCGTGTTTTTATGGTGTATGCATATGTGACATAGTCATTTGTTTATTCTTATTGATAAGTGCCCGAATGAAACCTGTGATGTGTTTTGTACGATTACACAGAGATACATTGTATACGTGGAAATAATCTAAGCATCACCATTTATTGTTTTGCGTTCATCCATAACTTTCATGAATGTATTTTTTGTACGTACACAATGACACCGACGTCATGTTGACAAACATCTAAGATACCATCCATCCCTGCGAGCACAACAACGCTGTGTTATCATAACACACTGTCAAACGCCTCACTGTAGCAAACTATGCAAACAAATATGTAAATCGCACTGAAAGGTTTGCATTAAGCCGGACTGCTCTGATTTCTGAAAAGGTTCGTTTGTTTACATACAAGTGAACATTCCGGTCACGTGATAATCAAATTAGCTCGTGGCACTGTGTAATGCTAAGTGTGTTGGCCGGCCTCAAAGGACATCAAGATGTCATGTTGCTTCATATGACGTTATCTGCTTGTCAGGTCAGAATTCACGCACGCACGCACATTTCTTAAGAACGTTAAAATGGAAAGGCGTTGTGAAAAAACAAAGAGATTGTGAAAACAGTTCCCCTGCAAACAAGTGATATTGAAAACAGTTCGCCTACAAACAAGTGATATTGAAAACAGTTCGCCCAGAAACGCGTGATATTGAAAACAGTTCGCCTACAAACGCGTGATATTGAAAACAGTTCGCCTACACACGCGTGATATTGAAAACAGTTCGCCTACAAACAAGTGATATTGAAAACAGTTCGCCTACAAACAAGGGATTGCATCATTTTTCATCAGATTCAAAAGAACCTGACCAGGTCAGAAACTAACTTGCATACATTTGCAATGTACATCTATATCAAAATAGAACTTCACACTCATGCGATCGTATAAATAGGGCATTGGTGAAATGAAGGCGAGAAGAGCCTGGCGATGGGCGATTAACGCTCATTACAATCCCATAATTCACTAATCGTGTTTATTGATATTTCCGGTGCATATGACATCACGTCAGTAGGCCATGCGATAGTGTTCATATGTCCTGCCCGCTGAACCCACTTGTGTATGCCTTTATTACCCAGTTTAGCCTGATTAACAAGGTACGGGGTGTTTTAAACATCAATTTATTACATTCCATGGATTTTGTGACAACTATATTACAAACTTGTGCAGACTGGTGTAAGAGCGCTTCCTACTCCTCGCTTCTTGGTCCTCCCAGCGGGCTGCATTGATTGGCTGGCTAGACGGGAGTTGTCGACCAATGCGAGCACAGAGGGCTTAGCGTGTTGAACATTCGGCTTACATCGGCCCTCGCACTGACGAGGTGATCAAATTGTCCTTACACCCATGCCACATGTACCTCACATGTACACAAGGTGAAGGTCACACACTGGATTCAACTTTGCGGGCTTCCATATTTTTTAAGAACTGAACAGTTTGTGTTTTAGGTTGAGGGCAATGACCTGGAAAACAACTTTGTAACTTTTCAGATCTGATGGAAATGTTGGATTGCACTGAGCTCGATTGTTTATCTCCCAGAGGGGATTCCGGATGGCGACATAGAAGTCCATGCTGGTCGTAGAAGGCGACTTAAATGGACAAGGTGGTCATGCCCGTTGATTGGTTGATTGCAAGGGCGTTACCAGCATTTTTAAAAGGGAGGGTTCTAAAACATCAAATCTTCTCTCAGATAATTTTAGTGCCTACACCACATTACTGTTTGTTTTTCAATATACGGGGTGAGAGACACCACCACCACCACCCCACCCCCCTCCCCCCACTACCTCCACCCCACCCCCGAATCCGCTTATGGGTTGGGTGCCATAGTAATCAAATGAAGTGATTCGTTCTTCATGCTCTCAACCACTGGTTTAGCAGTGACAATCAAGAACATCGACCTCTAGTTTGCCTGATCCAGACTTCATTATTTACAGGACGCACTTGGGCGGCGTTAAAATACCATTCACACACTCTTTCAAATAGTCTTCTACGTCACCATACATAAATAAACCAATGATATAGGTACAATGTACATTTATTGATCATGGTTTTCTTGAGTTCATTCTAGTAGGTAAAACCAGCGTTTCTGTCCACACGTTGAAAGTACCGGCCAGGTCTTCTCGCGTGAATCTCGCGGAGTACATTGGATACCGTCTGCTTTTTGTGGTGATCCCAGATCACGCGCTCCTCTAGGTGGCGCTGTAAATCTTCCTCGCTTGGGTAAGGCAGTGTCTGCAATAGGAAGGGTCCTACAAGTGAGTTTAGGCATAGCGTCGAATTGAACAGTTTTCCAGCTTACCACTTCGTGTCAGCTTAATGCTGGAGGAAAGCTCAAAATATCATTTGGTAAAACGAACAAGTACAGACTCGGTGTTGACAAACCATGGGCCGTAATCGGGGAGGATTTGGGATTCGAACCCACGACCTGCGGATCCTTTGTAATTTTGCACCGATTTTTGCTGCACCTGAGACCCTATCCTAGCCTAGCACCCGTTCCTTGCATTTGCTGATGGAGACATATTTCGTCCACTCATTCTTTCGACAGCAAACTATGTTTGACCTGTCACAGCCAGTTTAAATTTCTGACGCCCTACCGATCGTGACGTCACTGTTTTATGGGTACACGGATTTCAACAAAGCTCCGCACAGAGTTATATCGCTCCCTACCGAAAGCGTTTACGGCGCCAAGCCCCGTGCTTTATTTCTTTTCGGTTTGTGAAAGTTACATAGGGATGATTAATAGTTTGAAAGATGAATAGAAACTTTATCTTTGCCTCACATATATGTATAACGATATGCGTACATACGAAATACATAAAATATATATATATTTTTTGTTACATTGGTGGTACAGGTCTAATCAATCTTTGAAATAAAAACGGTGATGATAAATGTTCTTCTCCATGAAAATTTGGTAGTGAAAACAAGGCAGTATTAACAATTTGTTTCAACATCTACAGGATTCCCTATTATGTATGTTATATGTGTAAATTTATTTCGTTGTCATGGAAACAAACACACATGTAAAGTATCACCTTATTTGTTAAAGCAGTACTGGGATAATTTAACATAATTTTTTGTCTAAAAAGGTAAAAATTGCATACAGATATTGTTGCATAATCATGCTCTTTTCACAAAGGTCATTTCACACAAACCTTTGCTCGTGTGTTTCGCCAAAATTGTAAATGACTGCGATCTGCATCACTTCGGGCTTTCCTCCCACATTAAGCTGACACGGCGTGATATAACTGGAATACTGTTTAAAGCTGCGTTAAAACCAAACTCACCCACTCACAAGATCTTTAACTGGATGTAAAGAAAAAAGATAAAATCTTTATAATTAAATCTGAACTCCATTTTAGTTCTGCAAGTAATTATATTTTTTTTTATAGAAACAAGCCCATTGTTTATGCCCAATTTCATCCCTTTGGACCAAGTGGTTTAAGGAAAGAAGTTTCTCAAATAGTTTCCATGTTTTAATTTTTACCAATGGTACTTTTTAACATTTTTTATTTTACTGGAATGAACAAGTTTGAAACACAGTGTGCCCCTACACGTATTTTAAGAGCTACCCGAGGAGCAAATTCTTAAATAATTTGCTAAAGTGTATTTTGTTTTTCATTTTAAAAAAAGCCACAACTAATATTTTTTACCTTAATGCCATTTAAAGTATGCTAAACATCCTCATAAAGCTTCAGAGAAGAAATCAAAAGGTCACGGACGACGGATGGACGGACACATAACGTCAACGCATAATGCCGTTAGCCACAAATAGATACACGTTCTGCTCAATGGCACAAGTGTAACGTCAAAGACAAGGACATTTAACCAGGCCTAACCTCATCCCTGAGTTTGACCATGAAGTCGTTAGAAGCATTGTCCAGGAAGAACTTCTTGTTGATCAGCAGACACTCCACGCCATTGCTGGTCAGGGCGAAGTTAGGCTGGTCCTTGTAGAACAGGTCGGATATGCCCTAAAATGGGAGGTCATTCCACAGAGTAAGTGTGGGTTTACGCCGCAATCAGCAATAACATACACCAATAACACAGCAATAATGAGCGTACCCTTTTACCATTGAGCTACCCAACATTGAACACCTGAAGTGTTCCCTAGCTCTCTTCAGGTTCGAGGTCAGGTGAGATCTCGAGACTGTGCCCCTCCAGTAGATATCTCTCTCCTTACTGTGTTCACACCTACACAAGTTAAAAGTTTACTTATATGGTAAATATCAAAGAAAATCATCAGGAAAATATGCTTCATTTTGTGTCATTACAGTAAATTCACAAGCAATGATGACATTACCAAGGAATCTGGCCTTGTATACTAGAAATGCCAGGTCCATAAACAGTAACGGTTTGCGTAGAGAAGCGCTGTGCCTAGCTGCGTTTGAAGTAGCAAGTAGTGAGGTCCCTAACAAGGCCTAAATATAGTGAGGTCCCTAACAACGTCCAAATGTTGTGAGGTCGCTAACAACGTCCAGATGTTGTGAGGTCCCTAACAACGTCCAAATGTTGTGAGGTCCCTAACAACGTCCAAATGTTGTGAGGTCCCTAACAACGTCCAAATGTTGTGAGGTCGCTAACAACGTCCAAATGTAGTGAGGTCCCTCACAAGGCCTAAATGTAGTGAGGTCCCTTAAAAGGCCTTCATGTAGTGAGGTCCTAACAAGGCCTAAATAAATGTAGTGAGGTCCCTAAGAACGTCCAAATGTAGTGAGGTCCCTAACGACGCTTTAAAATATTACAGAATAGAAATCCTTCAAGAAGGTTGCATTCTTCTACCAACGTAGAACTGTAGTGAACAGAATGCCGTCATTCGTGAATTTACAGTACAAAGCTTGAAGTACACTGGAGTAGTGTTGGCGACAGCACCGCTACGTCCACTCACAAACACAGACCCCTTGGTGAGCGTCTGGACGTTGATGAACACGTGCGAGTCCCCCGCCGAACTGGCCCGGCCCTGAAACAGACAGAGTAGTCACCGATACACGGTACGAGAACAGAACATCCTTCACCGGGCATACTCTGTGTCAGCTGCACATTCGACCCTATAGATGAAGATGGCGTGAGGTGAAATGAGGTTTAATGCCGTGTTCTAGGTTATTTAGCTAATAGAGCTACTGGATACATTTCAAATCACCTTATAGTCCTGTGTGTCCGGGAAAGTGACGGATGACCGGCGCTGACCACGCGGCTGAGCTGTCCACGCTCTCTGGTCACCTCGATCCCTTTTACCTGTTGAAGCGAGACATGGGTGAGCAGGTGCGTCTGGACGACGTATGAGTGAGTGAGTGAGTGAGTACGGTTTTTACGCCGCTTTTAGCAATATTCCAGCAATATCACGGCGGGGGACACCAGAAATGGGCTTCACACATTTTACCCATGTCGGAAAATCGAACCCGGGTCTTCGGCGTGACGAGCGAACGCTTTAACCACTAGGCTACCCGACCCTCCCTCGGGGTATGAACAGTGGCTGAGCCAGGAATCGTGATTGGCTATGATTGAGAATGTCTTAGCAGTTCAGTTGTTTGTTTGTTTGTTTGTTTGTTTGTTTATGTGTTGTATAACACCGCACTCAGCAATATTCCTGCTATATAACGGCGGTGTGTAAATAATCGAGTCTGGACCAGACAATCCAGTGATTGATATGATGAGCATCGATCTACCGCAGTTGGGATTCGACGACATGCATCAACCAAGTCAGCGCGCCTGACAACCGATCCCGTTAGTCGCCTTTTACGACAAGCATGGATGGCTGAAAACCTGTTCACAAGTGTCAGGTTAATGTAGAGGGAACGTCTGTAGTTGCGTGGGGAGTTGAGGTGTTCCTTTTTATACCACTCAATAAAAGTTAAGGACTATCCGATTCTTGGTAGTAGACTTAGGGAGCGGTGGGGTAGCCTAGCGTTCAAGCGTTTGCTCGTCAAAGGCCTGGGTTCGATTTTCTGCATGGGTCCATTTCAGAAGTTCCCGTCGTGATATTGCTGGAATATTTCTAATAGCTGCGTAAAACCCTACTCACTCACTAGGCTTATAAAGGATTCAATACAAAATAGCGTTATCCCGTGTACTTGTACTAGCTGTATTTCTACAAGTCGTAGTGGAAGTCGTGGCGGTGATGATTCCACTGCAGCAGTAGCAGTAGAGGCTTCCATTGGATCCTTCCCAAACCAGCCTGTCTCCCCCCACCCCCCTTCACCCAGAGTCAATGGTGAGTGCGCGATACACGTGGAGTGTTTACAGTACTGAGATCCCAGGCGATCGTTTGTTTCATAATTCCAAGATTGGGGCAATCAGATTAAACTCCTTACATCATCGATCCGCCTTAGCTACTGATAATGATAACTGCAAGCACTGTGCCGAGCTTGCACTGGACGTGGCGACGGATCGACCGAGATTTCCACAAGCTGTTCAATATAACTGCGTATAGCATTTGGAACTTAATTAATTTCACACGTGTGGAGTTGCACCAACCTCTTGAGTTTAGTCTTGATTTGGAAACCACTGGTGTCTGAAACAACAACAACACTATAAAAAATGTGTTTAAATGTAAACCTTCACATAGACATGTTTAGATTTAAACATGTTTAGGAAAAGTGTAAATCCTAAACGGATTACATATTTAGTGTGTTCTTTCTGAACACGTTTAGTGTCTAAACACATGAAAAGAGCTATCGTCTCACAGCCTAAACACCACCTAAACACCACATCCCCATAATCTAAACATGTATAAATTCGGATACGGGTCTTTCCCACAACGCGCTTAGCTGTTAGACAAAATGCAAAATTTTTATAGACACTAAGCGCGTCAAACTTATTGGACAAGTAACGTGTTTATGTTTGTGTTTTGAGTTGCGTCCTTTGGGCACGCCAGAAACCTATGATTGTGGGTTCGAATCCAGGTTCTCACTGATTTATGGGTTTCACCGAAGTGGTAAACATCTTAGACCTGCATCACTTCTGGCTTTCCTACCACATTTAGCTGACACGCCGTGATATAACTGGAATGCTGTTCAAAGCGGAGTTAAACCCAACTCACTCACTCAGTCGAGAGTTAGATAACACACGCTATCGGCAAGTGTGGAATAACATGATACACGATACTGAAAGGTGACGGTGCTTAATACCCCCCCCCCCCCTCTTTTTCTAACGCTGTACCTCAATCTCTCTTCCCCCCCCCCCCCCCCCCCCCCTTCTCTCTCTGTAGCTGTTTATTTTATCTTTAGTTGTAATGTCGATCAATTGTTTTAATATTCATATTTAATTAGTATTAATACATTACTGCGATATATGAAGTAAATGAAAATTACTAGTTTAAAAACTATTAAGTACTGAGTTCGATCAGTAGCTGTCGAATGGATGCATAGCTATGATATTAATCTAAATAAGTAATACTGATCTGTAGGTGTGGTATTGATCTGCATGTGTGCACTGACCGATATATAGCCGTATTATGCATCGATAGATAATACCGATCATTATTTGTTATATCGATCAATAATATTATCTTAATATATGGGTTTATTACTGATCAATAGTAATATTATGATCTTTTTAGTTGTAATATTGATCTTTAGATATTGTATTGCTGTAATATTGAACTAAAGCCGCACCATCGATCTATAGACGTAATATCGATCAATACTATCTTTTTATCCATAGCCGCAATATTAGGTAATAGCTGCAAATATTGATCATAAAACTTCATTACCCTCAAACAATTCGGTCACAGCACCAACTCTAGGTTGTCCAGAACACAGATCGGCGAAAAACAGTCTAAACATGCAATGTTATTTTTCATGACCGCGAGTGTTGGTTTTCTACTTTCTGCAGCTTGCGACATTAAAGCTAAGTTGGTGATCTGTGTGTGTGGTATCCCGCTGCACGTGTGGGTGAAAGGCGATAGGCCAATTGTCGGGGAATTCTCATGTGAAAATACAGGTCATCGGCGGGAGGGAAGTCGTGCCGCAATTAACGGTAGTTTGGGGCAGGGGTATGATGTATATTAATGTCTTTGTCGAAACCAGTGACATTTGAGAGGAATTTGGTGACGGCTTAGGTAAATATCAAAACAATTGCCCGCATCAAGCTGCAATGAAAGGCTACACCGTGAATGGTGGTTAAACAACGGCAGCTTAAAGTGTCTCGTTTATGATTTAATTTCGCGAAGAAAGTGAAGTAGCGGGCATTATTGGTACCAGAATGACACTCGTGATGTGTTTTTGTTGATGATGACAAATTATAGCCCAATGTGCTCATTTCCGCAGGCTTTCGTTTTAGCCTCGTTGAAGTATATATGTAGGTTACAGTCCGACCCAACCGATTGTAGGACTCCCTCACGTAAATACAATCGTTGTTAAAAGCTGGTTTAGAAATAGTCCATACTCTGTAATCATCTGATTCATTTCAAAGCATTGAAGGCTGGGTTATTTTGGGCTTTAGCGGTATAAATATATTGCAAGGGATTTCGTAGCAATTATTTTTCGTTTATGAAAAGAAATTAAGCCACGCCCATTAACGGACTAGTGTTTCCCATACAGAATGGGCGGGGCTTGTATTCCATTATTGCGCTGAAGGATGTCACCGATTTAGAATTGTTGTGTTTTTGTTTGAGGTCATGATTAAATAAGCCAGAGCTCCAGATAAGCTGCGTATCTGCGTAAAATATGCATCAGAAATGCAGAAATACGCAGTAAAATAAAATCCAAGCGTATCAAATACGCAACGAACATTACAGATAAGCTACAAAAATAAAACTTGTGCGTATCATCAAAATATTGTGAAGTAACCCTTCGTATTCGATTAGCAAGTCAGCAACTTATTTTGAAATTATAAAGGAGTATCGTGGAAGTATCGTGGTATTTTTGAGTCCTATAAAGCTCTCGAACCCACACGACACCAGTTTGCAGGGACTAGATGAATAGAGTTTTTAAATATTTAACTTAAATACCCACATGTGTAAAAACCATTTGGTAACAGAAATTTGAATACCCAGATAGAATTACTGATACCCAATGATTTTTAAATGCATGGGTAAAATACCCACAACGCCAAAAGCTTATCTGGAGCTCTGTAAGCAGTCTGTTCCTGAAAATACTTCAGACATAATTTGTCTGAAACTATAAATCAGTCAATGATCATACTGGATGTCACGCCCAAATGTGTATTCCTAAATACAGGCTCGCTGACTTGGTTGATGCATGTCATCGTATCCCAATTGCGTCGACCGATGCTCATGATGTCAATCACTGGATTGTCTGGTCCAGATTCGATTATTTGCAGACCGCCGTCATATAGCAGGAATATTGCTGAGTGCGGCGTTAAACAAGAAACAAACAAATAAACAAGCATACATAAATCCTGTGCATAGAGATGAGATGGTGAGGTCACTTCAAAGCTAACTGAGTGAGTAAATTGAGTTTAACGCCGCTTTGAACAATATTTTTTCAGATATACTAGGGCGTCGGTAGCGAAAGGAACCAGTGTATTCATCATACTCTGGACAATCAAGGATGCACATCATATCGCCATATTAATAAACATTTTCCCGCTTGCATTATATCCGGTTTCGGTCAAAAAGTGATTCCGAATTAACGAGGATACATCGTATTAACAATCGGTTGCAGTGATGAGCAAGTTCAAAAGAAAATATTTGTTTAACACCGAAGTGTAAATACCTTCTTCTTGATAGCCCCTTCTTGAGTCCCCTCGTTGAGAGGCGCCATATTCTCTGTCCCGGCTGAAGTCCCGACAGAAGTCCCGGTAGTGTTCCTCGTGTCCAGCGGCGCGAGACCCTGGTCAGCCGTGATCAGGAACGTCGGCTGTTCATCGGAGACGCTGTCGTGGCGATCCTGGAAGACACCATGTTTAATGTCAGGGCGCAAAACACAAACCCCTTGGGGCTGTTTCACCTTAAACAATGTGCGAAATCATCGATAACTGAAAGCGTTCGTAAAATCGTCAAGCCAGGCAAACACATTCACACGTCTAATCAGCGGTCCGAGTCGGTGGTTCCTGTAAACAAGAGTTGAATGGAGAAATCTGATATCGTACATGTATGTATAGCGCACGGATTGCCAAGTCGTCAAAGGCGTCGCAGTTCATTGTGCAGAGTTGCGTCCCTTGGGCACGCCAGAAAACTATGATTGTATGTTCAAATCATGTTTCTAGGTTTGTCAGCACCATACCCGTGCTCGTAGGTGTCACCAAGGTGGTAAATATCTGAGGCCTGCATCACTTCGGCCCTTCATCCCACATTAAGCTGACACGTCGTGATATAACTGGAATATTGTTAAAAGCTCCGTAATACCAAACTCACTCACTCATCTTAGTATAGTTTCCATCTTACACAGGGCTTCATAATGGAATATAGCGCCACCTGGATTTGTAATGTAAACAAAGACAGCTCCTAAACAAAAGTTGCTGTCTGCAATAAATTCAACTGGAACTAAAACTAACACTCAAATCTTATGATTTGAACAAAAAAGGATGCAAAAATCTAATGTTTTTTATCCAACAATTAACGAAACAAATACCAAATTTCATTACATTTTGAACATAAATGACTAAGTTATGGCCATGAACAGTTTTTTTTTCAATAGGCGGCCATATTGGAAATCGGATTTGAACCTCTTGAACAAATGTAGGTGTCATCATGGTGAGAACAAGCATGTGAGTTTTCAGCTTCATTGGTCCAGTGGTTCGTAAGGAGAAGATGCTTACAGACGACGGACATTTAGTCGGGTGAGCTAAAAACAATGATATATTTCATCTGTATTGGTCTACAGTTTCGTAATTAAAGAAAAAAAGGTATTCTTTGTCTGCCAATCTTACATCTGCGTATAGTTTCTTCATCTCTTTGTACTCTTCGCTGACGGCAACGTTTATCTCCGGAAGTGCGTTGAAGCGCATGCGCTGATTGATTTGCTGCAGGTGTTGGATCTGTTGCTGGTAGGAGATTTGTAGTCTTTCCTCGTGGCTGAGATAGGCCTCACTGCGCAGCCCTGTCACCCCTGGGGCGTAAAGAAGATTAGATAGGGTGTAGGGTGGGGACGACACGTGGAGGTGAGGTGAAATGAGGTTTAACGTCACGTGTGTGTGTGTGTGTGTGTGTGTGTGTGTGTGTGTGTCTGCTTGTTCTTGTCTAGCCTACTGACATACCATGCCGCAGTTTAACATGACTACCCCACTCAGACACAGTATACTGACACCGAGTCCTTGTTTCAGACCCTTAATGCCAAGCGCCAGGCAGGGTGGTGCGGCCGGGGTTGGAACCCCGGACCTTCCGATTTCCGGGCGGACGCTGTACCACTAGACCACGGAGGCGGTCACATATGTAGGTAATTCGGATGACGTGGATATTGTGGGTGACAAGGTCAACTCTGCATGAAGTTATAAACTTATTTGTCATATCACTTGAATTAATACAGTTACACCACGGCTGCCGATAACTAATCGTAGACAAGGCAAACCAGTGACTAAAAGCATGAGCATATACCCATGTCTTTAGGGCACGATGACAAGTGGCCGATCCTGGCCACTCAATCTTTCAAAGGCGGTGTTTCTCTGTCCGTGAACTCAGTCTGACATGCGCACAAACGGGGCCTGCGAGTCAGTGACGCTGGTTGCACGGTGATTGTCTACTATACAGGAGAATTATCACCTACTCTTCTCCCTCCAGTTCTCTATGGTGGCGTTGATCCTTCTCCGTGGGTTCACCTTCCGCAACTTCTTCAGCAGGTTGCAGCTACCCTGTACAGATAATGGGTGAGGGAGTGAAGGAATGAGGGAGTGAATGCAATAGTGAAATGAGAGTGAATGCAAGTGAGTGAATGTTTGTTTGTTGTTTAACGCCGCACTCAGCAATATTCAATCTCCATGACGGCAATCTGTAAATAATCGAGGCTGGACCAGACAATCCAGTGATTAATATCATGAGCATCGATCCATACATTTGGGATACGATGACATGCATCAACCAAGTCAGCGAGCCTGACCACCCGATCCCGTTTGTACGACAAGCATAGTCGCCCTTACAGCAAGCATGGGTTGCTGTAGACCTTTTCTTCCCCGGATCTTCGCGGGTCAGTGAGTGAATGGATGATTGTGAAGTGCGTGTGCGTGTGCGTGTGCGTGTGCGTGTGCGTTGTTTAATGCAGCACAATTTTCTAGATTTATGACGGCGGTCTGTAATAATCGGGTCAGACAAGATAATCCAGTGATTGATATCATTAGCATGAATCTACACAAGTGGAAAATGATGACATGCATCAACCAATCCTGACCACCCGATTCCGTTAGTCACCTATCCCAACCCTGATATCCACGGGTCTAAGTTAGTGACTAATGGAATTAAGTGAATGAGAGTGAATGAATGCAAGTAAGAGAGTAATACAAGGGATTACGTGGGTGAATAAATGAATGAATGTGAAGTAAGTGTGGGTATTAGAAACAGTTGATGGGTACCTCTTCATCATGGCACGTGTGCTTGTCTCTACGTCCTCACAACATTAAAACCTTTCACAGGTCATCGGTGACATCACCTTCAACAGGTCATCGGTGACATCACCTTCAACAGGTCATCGGTGACATCACCTTCAACAAGTCATCGGTGACATCACCTTCAACAGGTCATCGGTGACATCACCTTCAACAGGTCATCGGTGACATCACCTTCAACAGGTCATCGGTGACATCACCTTCAAACAAGTCATCGGTGACATCACCTTCAACAGGTCATTGGTGACATCACCTTCAACAAGTCAGTGGTGAAACCACCTTCAACAGGTCATCAGTGACATCACCTTCAACAGGTCATCGGTGACATCACCTTCAACAGGTCATCAGTGACATCAAATTCAACCAGTCAGTGGTGAAACCACCTTCAACAGGTCATCAGTGACATCAAATTCAACAAGTCATCGGTAACAGCACCTTCAACAAGTCATCGGTGACATCAAATTCAACAAGTCATCGGTGACATCAAATTCAACAGGTCAGCGCTGACATCAAATTCAACAGGTCAGCGCTGACATCACCTTCAACAGGTCAGCTCTAACACCACCTTCAACAGGTCATCGGTGACATCACCTTCAACAGGTCATCGGTGACATCACCTTCAACAAGTCATCAGTGACATCAAATTCAACCAGTCAGTGGTGACACCACTTTCAACAGGTCAGCGCTGACACCATATTTGACAAGTTAGCGGTGACACCACTTTCAACAGGTCATCGGTGACATCACCTTCAATAGGTTAGCGGTGACATCACCTTTTAACAGGTCAGCGGTGATACCACCTTTAACGGGTTAGCAGTGACACCACCTTCGACACTGACTGTACTCACCGACTTCACTATGACGATCCACTCGCTGTCTTTACTGTCCTTCACGATTACCGTACCTCTCCTGAAACAGGACCGACAAGTAATTTGTTTTCGAGTGAGTGAGTGTTTTCCAGCATACACTATGGGAACACCATAAACAGGTTTCTCACATTGTACTCATTTGGGGATTTTAACCGGGATTTCGAGATAACGAGAGAGCGATTGAACCACTGAGCTAACACCTCCCTTGAAAGCAAGACCTCAATAGACTCCATGTATCTTGAAGAGGAACTTGAAGAAAGACTTCCCCTTCTGGCAAAATTGAAGTAACTTGTTCTTTTTCTTTATATAATCCCCGATTATGAACATACAGTGTTCGTGCGTTGCACCAAACCTGTAATTGTCCATGTTTTTCACTCATACAAAGCTGACTTGCCGTGTTATAACTGACACAAATGAAGTACTGTTCAAATCGACGTTAACGGTCATTCAGATTGCGATAGATGTGTTACTTGAAATATGTCCTGTGTTTATCCGTACCCTGGCAAGTCAAGAGTTTCCAAACATTCAGTCAACTGAGTATATGAATATCGGTTTCAGCCATTGTACCCATTGTACACTAGTCACCTGCGTTTGTTGCTTTTGTTTGTTTAACGCCGCACTCAGCAATATTCCACCTATATGACGGCGGTCTGTAAATATTCAAGTCTGGACCAGACAATCCAGTGACTGACATCATGAGCATCGATCCACGCAATTGGGATACATTGACGTATCAACCAAGTCAGCGAGCCTGACCGCCCGATCCCGTTACAAGCATAGTCACCTTTTACGGCAAGCATCGGTCCCTGAAGACCTATTCTACACCGGATCTTCACGGGTCCAAGTAGATATGTCAATCAAACCAACAGAGCCTAAACACTAATGAACATATACTACTCAAAAGAATATAAAGAACATGCATTGCACGACAGATTAACTATACCAATATGAAAACAATCAGGTGTTCTTGATATTTTTAGTAGTAAATATGCATAGCATCAGAAAATCCATGTTACAACACTTGTTTTCATTTCCATATAGACATGTATAATTTCTTTGCACAATCAACAAACTCAGGACCAGTTGCTTTTTCCATATCAAATGATCGATCACGTAATAGTCGCCTTTTACAGCAAGCATCGGTTTCTGAAGACCTACAGTATTCGAACCCGGATCTTTACGGGTTTAGTCAGCTGTGAGAACCAGCTGTTTGAGATTTTCACAACATGAAAGTGAAGTACCGGGATACCTGCCCACTTCAAACAGACCTCGCTATCTGAAAGATGAGTGAGTGAGTGAGTGAGTTGGGTTTAACGCCACTTTTAACAGTATTCCAGTTATATCGCGGCGTGTCAGCTTAATGTGGAAGGAAAGACCGAAGTGATGCAGGTCTCAGACGTTTACCACTTCGGTGAAACCCACGAGCACGTGTATGGTGCTGACAAACCTAGAAACATAATCGGGGCGAACCGTGATCATAGGTTTCTGGCGTGTCCAAGGGACGCAACTCTGCACAGCGAATCGCGGCGCCTTAGACGACTAGGCCACCCGTGCCCCCGATCTGAAAGATGACTGTAGTTGGACAACTCAATGGAGCAAACACAAAAATGACCAGTCTCTCATTACTACACATTATAACTTGCACGCATTAAATTACTCACTTGAAGTAGTTGAGAATTGCTTTCTTCGGACTGTCATGGAGAAGTTTCTGGGGCCAACCGTCCAGACAGGATATGCCCCTTGATAACACAGGGACACGAGAAATATACGAAACAGTGGTATGAAACCCTTTTAGGATTCCATCAGCATGTCCACGTTGATGGCTGAATGATTTTAGGGTACTCAAGACATGCTCAGTTGATTTTTTTTTCAAATAATAAAAATTGTTAAGGACGGTTTATTTTTTGCGGGTGTTTGTATTAGTTAAACTTTTAACGTTGCCAAATAATCAATTCTTTTGGAATATTCTCTCTGGGCAGATGTTTATATTTCATAAACTTACGAATTTATAATTTCAGTTGTATTTTTCTGTTTAAACACACATAAACTGAGTAAGTAAGTACTAGAATACCGAAAAATTGAAAGAACTGTTGTTAACTTTCATTATGTCTATTTAACCATCACTCATTTCTGGAACAGTTTGTACAAAGTAGTCTGTGGCTGGGTAATTTTGTGTACAAATTAATTGCTTCAATGGAGACTGGGGTAAGAAATCAATTTGCCACCACATGACCCATGACCATGTTTGAAATGGTGTAAACGTGTGCCTCCTAAAAAAAAATTATTTATTAATAACACGCAAAATACCCATCAGCAGTTGTGAATTATGCGAACAATTTTATTTTTTTAGTTTTAAAAGTTTTAAATCATATTATATTTTTAAAACTAAAACCACGCAGAAGTAAGCGCCAGTACCCTTAATTTTTTGGCTACAACATCGCAAGCTTAAGATATTTTCAATTGAAAATCAAATCTATAATTAAATCTACTGAGGGGTATAGTTTCTTTTGCTCCTCAGTTTATAAATTTAAAAAACTCTAATATAGCACCAGAATCATATATAATTTTTTAGGAATATTTATACCAAGATGCTATGTGAAGATCGATAGGTAACTTAATAATACAAAAACATCCTTTTTTACCGAATGTGCCACTGAGAGATAAGTTTTTGTTTGTTTTGTTTTTTCTCAGCGAGCCAGATCACCCGATCCCGTTCGTCGCCTCTTTCGACAAGCATACATTAAAATATTTCAAACATTGAAATAATACTCACTTCAGGAATACCTCGGTGACACTAGTTAGTCCACCCGACATGAAGATGTTGACGAAGTCCTGCAAATCACAGAATCTATATATTCAACTCGGGTCAATGGAGGCTTTTAACATGATTATGACGTCATGAAGCATAACAGTGACGTCAGATGACAATAGCAAGATTTGTCATTCGCCAAGAATCGCCTCCCCTTGCTGCGTCAAAATATTTGTAATGTCGCTTATCAAGGACTACTGTAAACCTCTCTACCCTGTGGAATGCTTTTTTTTTCTTTTTTTCTTTTTCTTCTGACGAAACAGCGTGATATCCAAATTGTCTCCTTAATTTTTTTTTAAAACAGAGAATTCGGTGATGAATATTCCGTTCTTATGATTCGATCACATTACATCCGTCCTATAATCATTCTCTTATATGTTATATATTAAAACGACATTCTGAAGTTTAGAAAACACAGTTTGGCGCTAATTTTCTTTTCCGCTTTTACTGCATCATGTTTGAAAATAACAAAGACTACAATAATTCATATATTCATAAAATTAATAAATAAAATATAAAGAAACCGTGTCGCCCTTCGGCTCAAGATGAAACCTATGATGGTAGAATGTAGGTATGATTCCATAAAGTAAATAATAAATAATAATAACAATAATAATCTTTATGAATAATAACGATTATTATTATTATTATTATTAGTATCATCATCATCATCATCATCGTTATTATTATTATTATTATTACAATGTATTATAATATTGTTATTTATTACATATATTACTTTTGATTATTATTATTGACAAAATATACATGTACTTGTATATCCTTACGACGTCGTGGACAACCACGTACCTCATCAGTGAGCACCAACAGCTCGATGACCTCCTTTGAGATGACGGTGGCGCACCGGTGACATTTGTTGATGATGGCATCGTCCCCGAAACAGTCCCCCCGACCCAAGAACAGGACAGTGCGTTCCTGGCTCGACTCCATGTCCATCACCGTCACAACCACTGAGAAGGACAGCACCAGATGAAGAGGACAGGCTCCAGCAGTTAGTATATGTATGTGAAGGTTACGTTTATCGTCGTCCCCGCCAGGGCACGCTGGTTGATTGGTTTGTTTGTTGTTTAACACCGCACTCAGCAATATTCCATCTATAAATAAGTCTGTTAATAAATCGAGTCTGGACCAGACAATCCCGTGATAGATATCATGAGCATCGATCCACGCAATTGGGATACGATGACATGCATCAACCAAGTCAGCGAGCCTGACCACCCGACCCCGTTAATCTCGTCCTACGACAAGCAGAGGCACCTTTTACGGCAAGCATGGGTTGCTGAAGACCTATTCTAACCCGGGTCTTCACGGGTCTTTGGGCTCCAACCAACTTAAGGTGACACACTGTGACACTGACTTACTGTTAAAAGCGGCGCGAATCCACACCACAGGTTTATGGCAACGGCTAAGGGACGTAACTCTACATAGCGAAATGCAGCGCCTTTTTGCACTGGCGGACACCTTACACATTACACACACACGCACGCACGCACGCGCACACACGCACGCACGCACGCACGCACGCACGCACACATTTTTAATATTCTGGATCCGCCTCTGCTAAGGCGATGTGACCACCCGATCCGTGACCCGGAAGTAAAGATGGCCACTGACCTGAACCAGACAGGATGAAGTAGTACATCATCGGCACGTGTCCTTCCCGTATAATCACACGTTTGGCGTCAAACCTGCAACATATCAGGACTTGGTTGACCTCATCACCTCTCATCCCTTTCTGAAACCAGGCAATATGAAGTTCGCCCCTTCCTGAAACCCAGGCAATTGGCAGTTCACCCCTTTCTGAAAAAAAAGCAATTCGCAGTTCGCCCCTTTCTGAAACAAAGGCAATTCGCAGTTCGCCCCTTTCTGAAACAAAGGCAATTCGCAGTTCGCCCCTTTCTGAAACACAAGCAATTCGCAGTTCGCCCCTTTCTGAAACAAAGGCAATTCGCAGTTCGCCCCTTTCTGAAACAAAAGCAATTCGCAGTTCACCCCTTTCTGAAACAAAAGCAATTCGCAGTTCGCCCCTTTCTGAAACCAAGGCAATTGGCAGTTCGCCCCTCTCTGAAACAAAAGCAATTCGCAGTTCGCCCCTTTCTGAAACCAAGGCAATTCGCAGTTCGCCCCTTTCTGAAACAAAGGCAATTCGCAGTTCGCCCCTTTCTGAAACCAAGGCAATTCGCAGTTCGCCCCTTTCTGAAACAAAAGCAATTCGCAGTTCGCCCCTTTCTGAAACAAAGGCAATTGGCAGTTCGCCCCTTTCTGAAACAAAGGCAATTGGCAGTTCGCCCCTTTCTGAAACAAAAGCAATTCGCAGTTCGCCCCTTTCTGAAACAAAAGCAATTCGCAGTTCGCCCCTTTCTGCAACCAAGGCAATTCGCCCCTTTCAGAAACAAAAGCAATTCGCAGTTCGCCCCTTTCTGAAACAAAAGCAATTCGCAGTTCGCCCCTTTCTGAAACAAAGGCAATTCGCAGTTCGCCCCTTTCTGAAACAAAAGCAATTCGCAGTTCGCCCCTTTCTGAAACAAAAGCAATTCGCAGTTCGCCCCTTTCTGAAACAAAAGCAATTCGCAGTTCGCCCCTTTCTGCAACCAAGGCAATTCGCCCCTTTCTGAAACCAAGGCAATTCGCAGTTCGCCCCTTTCTGAAACAAAAGCAATTCGCAGTTCGCCCCTTTCTGAAACAAAGGCAATTCGCAGTTCGCCCCTTTCTGAAACAAAGGCAATTGGCAGTTCGCCCCTTTCTGAAACAAAAGCAATTCGCAGTTCGCCCCTTTCTGAAACAAAAGCAATTCGCAGTTCGCCCCTTTCTGAAACAAAGGCAATTCGCCCCTTTCTGAAACCAAGGCAATTCGCAGTTCGCCCCTTTCTGAAACAAAAGCAATTCGCAGTTCGCCCCTTTCTGAAACCAAGGCAATTCGCAGTTCGCCCCTTTCTGAAACAAAGGCAATTCGCAGTTCGCCCCTTTCTGAAACAAAAGCAATTCGCAGTTCGCCCCTTTCTGAAACAAAGGCAATTCGCAGTTCGCCCCTTTCTGAAACAAAAGCAATTCGCAGTTCGCTCCTTTCTGAAACAAAGGCAATTCGCTGTTCGCCCCTTTCTGAAACAAAGGCAATCAGCAGTTCGCCCCTTTCTGAAACCAAGGCAATTCGCAGTTCGCCCCTTTCTGAAACCAAGGCAATTCGCAGTTCGCCCCTTTCACCCAAAACCTTAAATAGTTTCTTGAACCACGTGGATGAGGTGCTGGCAGAATTATGTGAAGGTTTCACATTGGCTACATTTGATGGAAACAATTTTCGTGTGATCATTTCAAGCATTTAATTGCCTACGACTTGCTTTCAAAACTACAACCCGCAGGGTCACATTCGGCGAACACTGGGGTTAAAGGTGACTGTCAGTCATTAATCGATAAATTGCGAATAAATCTAATGACGAGGATGAATTAGCTTTTAAATAGTGCCTAGTTTAGTGTTTTTGCCATAGACAATCATATATTCCTGATGCCTAGTGACATATTTATGCACTGCTCGTTAGTTTCAGTGCACTGATCGGGCAATGCACATGCACTTGGATTCGTGGATTAAATAGAAATTACATGGAACCGACTATTTCCGAGTGACGATAATTTTTGAAAAAAGCGAATGGTAACGGAAACTTCCCATTAAAATATAGTGAAGTAAATCCCAAATTTTCTCTATGATAACCCTTTTGCCATCTTCATTTCGCGTACTCTCTGAAATATGACATATTGATATCAAATCTGAACTATCAAGTAGCGGCGAGACAGTCCGCCGCCTGGTCCGTGGCAACTAATTCCCATCCCACTTGGGAGGTGTTTGTCCCGCTCCCTCAGACTCCCATCAAACACTCCGCTCCTCTGTCAAACCACAGAGATCGCCTATGGATCGGATATTACCTGTTCTTTCAATTTAGCGTTTATAGCCGCTCTTACATCAGACGCCGACTGTGTTGTTTAATCGTTACGACTAGTTGAGAGGAAAACATCTTATTTTTTGCACAGGGTAGCATTGGGTTCACGTTCTGTGGTTTTGTCGGATGATACATTTCCCCGGAACTTGCTCCCTGGTGTATATAGTTATCATTGTTGCATTTATTAATAAGAAACCTTTTTTTTAAATTTTGATATTTGTTATACTGGTTTGAATTTTGACGTTTTATGTGACTGCCTGTTGTCTATTGATAAAAAGTAGTTCTTAAAACGAGGATGAATACAGTATTCCAACAGCTTATAAAAAATTGTGTTTCCTTGGGTCGCATAGGTAGCATAAACCACACACGGCGAGTGAGTGACGCGGGTTCTACGCTGTCTTCACTAAACATGTGTTACGTCACACCACGCGTGTCACAATCAAACCAGAGGTCAATAGCATGAGCACACATTTACCGCCTGTTGTCTAGTGGATAGGGTGTCTGCCCGAAGAGCGAAGGTTGTGGTTCGATCACCAGGTCGTGTCAAACAAAAAGATGTTAAAAAATACTTGTTGTTACCCAGCCTGGCGTCGGCATTAGGGGCATAGAACAAAGACTGGTCGGCTCGGAGTGAGTGTAACACATCTGAGTGTATAATCATGTTAAGCTGCGGCATGGTATCTCACTGGGCTGGCACCATAAAACTGCAGTGACTGGTAGTCTATAAGCAGCCACACACACTCATACGCGCATGTGCATGTCTCTATATACCGGAAATAATATTGAACGCAATGTTAAACCCCATTTCACTTTACCTGACCTGACTTGACATCAGTTGGTGTCCAAAGACACAAATAACCACGTCCAAGTGGTCACAAAAACAACCACTCCATTCAGCCATTGTGGTCACACGATCTCCATTGACTAGCACGAGCTAGCGTTAACCTATTTCCCTAAGAATCTCCGAGACTGGGAGACTGAAACGGGTTTAAGGTTTAAGCCGCAACAAAAAAAAACATTTACTACGATTACATCGACTACATCGTCACCGGATCTATACGTCGTCACGTCTTCGTAAACGAATCCGTATTTCGGCTGCTGATAGTCTTCATTTTTGTAACAACCATCATCAATAGAGATCGTAATAATTTTGCGAAAAGGGATCTTTTTCCTAAATCAATTTGAAGACTTTATTGAATTTAATCCCGATTTCTGCCAAAACAAATTAAGTATTTGATGATATTACAAAACGACTGCATCGCGTCCTATACCTAAGCGTATTGCCAGCTCTTTGAAACAGAGGTTCCGGAAGGGAAATAGATTCTTGTAATTTATTCTTTTAAACTCAAACTCGAGCAGATGGTTTTTGTGTGCTTTTACATCATTTCGCGAAATTGGCAGTTCATCTGAAGAAGATGAAAAAAGACACAAGTCTTTATTGTCGAAATTACGTAACTTTATAACCAATCAATTTAAAGAACGCATTGCACACATGGGGGTATTATCTGTGCTACTTTCCGCGCGACAATCAAACTGTCCTCAGCGGCGGAGCGGTCGTGAAACGGACGAGGAGGCAGCGTGGTCAATACGATGCAGTCGATCGTTTGGCACGTTCAATGAGACACAGAAAGATATTGGATCTCCAAGCTTTGATCGACATAATTCCGCCAACAGCTGGCGCAGACATTTCCCTCCGTCTTAATTGACTCCATAATCAATTGCTGCTAATGGCGGCTAAACGTTTGAGAAGACTTCTCGAGTCAGAGTCGCTCAAAGATTTTAATCTTTTCCAAATCTGCCGATGTCCCTGATTTGATTTTTTACACGTTTCGCTGTCCGCGGCGATCAATCTCCTTTCTTTTCGCTCCCGTCGATCCCCACCGTTGGAAACCAACGACCACTGCGCGCGTTAATACTTCTCGAGATGGCAGAAAGTCTTAAATTGACGACCATATGATCAGAGATTACTACAAAAAACTGGAATGATATTGAAGCGGGCAGTGAACGTGTTGATAAATAGATATTTGAACTGCAGCTGCCTTTAGGAAAATAGTTTCTGAGAATTGATTAGTCTCCGCTATGTTTTGAATTCCTGTTCTGTTTTTGCGCATGTCAAACTTTATGCTCCCTTCGTCATTGGGTTGAACCTTATGTTCATCCGGGCATCGTTATCATGGCCCCTCGTAGGGATAACGTAAAGTCGATTATTAATTTGATAGTAAAGAGTAAGAAAACTCAATCGACAATGTGTCTTGACATTCGCTGGTCATAATTTCCCCAATTTTGTAACTCGGTTGGAATAGTGTCGTCAAATTGATATCGTACAAGGTGATGAGACATTTGAAAGATTGAGTTTTGATGAAAAACTACAAATATAGTTTATCAACCTTATGCTGTTCCCGGGACTTGCTTTATGACGATCGGTGTGTGCCTTTCCACTGATAACATTGTTCAACATCTTAAACTGTCAACTTCCACGATTCTTGGCAAAAAAACAACCCACTTTTAAGGCGCGATTTGGTGATTCACTTTTAATTTTTAAGTTTTGACAATTTCTTACGGTGTTTTTGAATATTGTAAGATTAACATTGTAATTTGAATATAACAAATATACTTGTTGAAAAAAGAATTTGTAAATTAATCGCGATGCAATATCCTCACTTCTAATCTATAGCACATTTATAACCCAGAAGAAAACATTTCTATAATTATTAAAAAAACTGATGAGTTCAGCATATCATGCAGGCCTCCTAATGTCC